AATGTTATATTAATTATATGATCATATTATAATAGTTAATGTAATGTTATAAGAATTAGTAATCATACTATAAATCTATAATTTATATTATAATTAATTAAATTTCAAATCATTTGATATATACTAATGTTTATAATGGAATGTTATAATTGATTAAGTAATGATATTATAAATATAAGATAATGTTATAATTAATTAAATTTTAATCGTTAATTAAGTAATGTATAATATAATAAATTACTAAATTACTATGTTTATAATGTAATGTTATAATTCATAACTAATTAAGTAATAACTATAATGTAATGTTTAATAATGTTTATAAGGTAATGTTATAATTAATTAAATTTCTTATCATTTAATTAAGTATTGTGCTATAATTTATGTAGTAAATATAATTACAAATGTTTAAAACATATATCATAACTCATAATCAATTAAGTAATCATTTAATTATGTAATGTTATATAATTATATGATCATACTATAATAGTATAATGTAATGATAATGAATTAAGTAATCATAATATAAATCTATAATTAATATTATAATTAATTAAATTTCAAATCATTTGATTAATAACTAATGTTATAATGAAATGTTATAATTGATTAAGTAATGATATTATAATATATAAGGTAATGTTATAATAATTAATTTTTAATCGTTTAATAAATAATGATAATATAGTAAATTAGTAAATTACTAATGTTATAATGTAATGTTATAAATTCATAACTAATTATGTAATTATGTAATCATTTAACTATGTAATGCTATAATTAAGTAAGTGATCATAATATATAATGTAATTAATAATATTAAATTTATTTGAGTAATTATTTAACTATAATGTAATGCTTAATTAATGTTTATAAGAAATGTTATAAGTAGTAATATTATAATTAATTAAATTTCTTATCATTTAATTAAATATTGTGCTAATATTTATGTAGTAATTAGTAATTACTAATGTTAAAACATAATATCATAACTCATAATCAATAAGTAATCATTTAATTATGTAATGTTATATTAATTATATGATCATACTATAATAGTATAATGTAATGTTATAATGAATTAAGTAATCATCTATAAATCTATAATTTAATATTATAATTAATTAAATTTCAATCATTTGATTAATATACTAATGTTTATAATGGAATGTTATAATTGATTAAGTAATTATATTATAATATATAAGGTAATGTATAATTACTTAAATTTTTAATCGTTTAATTAAGTAATGTAATAATATAGTAAATTACTAAATTACTAATGTTTATAATGTAATGTTATAATTCATAACTAATTATGTAATCATTTAACTATGTAATGCTTAAATAAGTAAGTGATCATAATAATAATGTAATATAATAATATTATAATTTAATTGAGTAATTATTTAACTATATGTAATGCTTAATTAATGTTTATATAAAATGTTTATAAGATAATGTTATATTAATTAAATTTCTTATCATTTAATTAAGTATTTTGCTAATGTTTATGTAATAAATTAGATATTACCAATATTTATAAATAATGACATAATCAATTAAGTAATTATTTAATTATGTAATGTTATAATAATATATATCATACTATAATGTAATGTTATAGTGAATTAACTATTAAGTAATCATACTATAAATTTTTAAGTAATATTATAATTGATTAATTTTAATCATTTAATTAAGTTTGTACTAATGTTTATAATAAAATGTTATAATTGATTAAGTAATTATATAAATCTATAACGTAATGCTATAATTAATTAAATTTTTAATTATAAATCAATTAATTAACTATTTAATTATGTTATAACTTATAAGTCAATTAATTAAGTAGTAATCAATTAATGTAATGCTATAATAATTATACTATAAATCAATTAAGTAATGTATAAAATTATAATTAATTAAATAATCATTTAACTATAATGTAATGTTATAATTGATTAAGTATGATATTTAACTAGTAATTAAATTTATTAATGTTTATCATTTATCATATATAATTAATTAATTACTAATTTATTATAGATATACTTAGAACTTGATAATTGAAGTAATAACTAAATATATTATTACTCAATCAAATATACTATTTTATTCAAAAATAATTCTTTTAATAACATTAAAAATGTAAAACACTTTTAATTGGATCATAATTCCAATTATTCACTTAATTGATCAAAACTTTAATATTAATGTATTATAATATATTAAAGCTTTTAATATGGTATATTTATATGTAATAAGTATAATTGTATTCGTATATTTATTTAATTAGGTTATTCAAAAATTTAACTTTTTCTATTTTAAATTTTTTATATGTAAAATGATAGAAACTCCCCCATTATTTACATTTCACAAATATTTCATTATAGTCCAAGTTCCAAAATAGGTTCTAAACAGGTTCCAAAACAGGTTCCAACAGGTTCAAAAACAGGTTCCAAAGCAGGTTCCAAATAGGTTCCAAACAGGTTCAAATAGGTTCCAAAATAGCTTCCAAACAGTTCCAAACCGGGTACCCCTTACAGGTTTCAAAACAGGTTCCAAACGGGTACCCCTTACAGGTTCCAACAGGGTACCCTTTTTACAGGTTCCGGTTCCGATTCCTCCACATGCAAGAACCGGAACCAAATCGCATAGTAACGTTCCAAAAAATTGGAACCGGAACTTACCCGCACAGTGCAGGTTCTGGGTAGGTTCCGGTTCTGGTTCCGATTCTACCCGCTACCCGTGCTCACCTCTAGCACATGTGATAGTGCATTTTGGATTTTTATTGCTCATCATGCATAAAATCCATGTATAGACTCTATATATATGTATGAAAATATGATATTTGATTTAGTGATCAGATTTTTATTGTGTCCATTATTTTTTTGATGTTGAATGTATAATGTAGGTCAATACGAAATGCTCTTAAAAAAAAAAACACATTCTGCAACTAATTTTTTAGTAGCAAAAGTCATTAGCATAATTGCATTCCGCTGAAGGTCATATGAAATGCTCTAAAAAAACATATTCTGTAACTATGTTTTAGTAGCAAAAGTAATTTAGTATAATTGCTTCCACATTCAGCGTCTAAAAATAGTCGTGAAAACCTTTTGGATTTCACATTCAGCGTCTAAAATGATTAAATTAACCATTAAATTTTAGTCACCAAACGATACATTCGTCCAAATAAAATAGTCGTGAAAATTTATTGATTCCACATTCAGCGTCTAAAATGACTATAATTAACTACTAAATTTTAGTCACCAAAAGATACATTCGGCCACTAATAAAATAGTTGCGAAAACCTATTGGATTCCACATTCAGCGTCTAAAATGACTATAATTAACTACTAAATTTTTGTCACCAAAAGATACGTTCGGCCACTAATAAAATAGTCGCGAAAACATATTAGATTCCATATTCAGCGTCTAAAATAACTATAATTAACTACTAAATTTTGGTCACCAAAAGATACATTCGACCATTAATAAAATAGTCGCGAAAACCGTTTGGATTCTACATTCAGCATCTAAAAGTATTATAATTAACCACTAAATTTTGGTCACCAAAAGATACATTCGTCGACTAATAAAATAGTTACGAAAACCTTTTACGAAATTACCCTTACACCTTTGGCGTCTAATTTTTGTGGGATTCGCAACAAATTATTAGACACGAAAAGGTACATTTTGCATCTAATTGATTAGTCGCTGTACAATTTAACCAAATTACCCTTGAACTTTTAGCGTCTAAGTTGGGGGATTATTTTGACCAACATTTAGCGACTATTTTGCTAGTCGCAAAAAAAAAAAAAAAAAAAAAAAAAAAAAAAAATTCCGCGTCTAAACAAAAATTTAGACGCGCAAAGAATCTACCACAACGATACTGCAACTAAGGGGCGACTACTAAATTTAGACGCGAAAAATGGCTTAGCATCTAAATGTGACTTTCTGCGTCTAATTTTACTAGATGCAGAATGCCAGTTTTCTTGTAGTGTAGTGAATTTCCCATATCAGAAATAAATTATGCCTTGTTTACTCACCTTATATGTGCTTTTGCTAATGTAGACTCTTCCACTTACCAGCTCTCCATCCCATCTACCAATGAACAATACTTCTCAAACTTTACTGGTACCATCTTATGCAAAAGTCCATCAGTTACAACTCTTCTATCAGTCTGGAAAGGACAGAATGCAACAAGTCAATCCATATTGGGCAACAAAGTGAACTATTCAGTTCTATCTTCAATGGTTAGTGATTCTTCTCATAGAAAGTCTTTTATTGAATCTTTGATGAAAACCGCCAAGTATTATAGATTTAAAGTGATTCTTCATAAGGAACAACCATTCCTTATGAAGGAACACATAAGGAATGGCTGTTTGTTTCTAGTAATTCCTTGGGTACCTTGGGTGCGGTGGGAGTTGATGTGACAGTGTTAATATGTTATCACGTTAAGGTTGTATGAGAATATTGTGAAATTGGGTTGTAAACGTAACATTTTTCAAGTTCTTATACTTATATAATATGCAACTCATGTGTAAGCCTCAAATTGGTGATAAGAAATTATTTAATTACAAGGTCTCATAATTTTATTTATTTAATTTTTTTTTTTTTTTGAGCATATACTAGGGTGAATAATGTTATAACAAAAAGGCATTTTATAAATAAATTTGTATATCAAATATTAGTCCAATTAATTTTTTTTTTCTATGCACGATTTTTGCTAGACTTTTTATTAAGAACAAAAAATGTCAGTTAAACAAAAATGGGCAAAAAAATGGGTTAGGGCATCTCCAACCCAGCGCTATTTTGGTGTAAAAACACCAAAATAGCGTGAAACTTACCTCCAACCCAGCACCATTTTCTGCACCAATTTGGTGCCCAGTTACAGTGCCATGCCAAATTTGGTGTAGCACTGTTCATGCTCACCAATTTGGCGTGGCACTGTTCAAACAGTAAAAAAAATATATTTTTTTTGTTATTTGTANTTTTTGATTCATCACTGGATGATTCGTCTTCTCCATTGAAACTAAAGAGATGCATGCAAGTAGCTTTATTGTGTGTCCAGGAAAATCCTGCTGAAAGACCAACCATGCTCAAGGTTTATAACATGCTCAAAGGTGAAATTGAAGACATCCCTTCTCCTAAGAAGCCTGCTTTTTCAGTCAAAAGAGATGAAGATGAGGATAGTAATTGCATCATCAAGGTGAAAATATTTTCAGTCAATGATGCAACAATTACTCAACCGGTACCGCGATGAGTCAATGAGTAATCTTGAAAGATATTGAAGTAATTACTGTATGCAGGGGAGATTGCAGAATTCCTCTGAAACACTCAGGTTTTCCATTTTTTTATTTTTTTTATTTTTTGTTTGTTTCCATCCCTTGTAACACCTCAGGGCATTGTTTAATTCTTTTACCTGTAACTCTATATTGTAGAGTTAATTTTGTTCTGTTCATAGCTGATGCAATACTTTCTTTTAGTTTATTTGTTATATGCACACAATCATTTACAGGTTTACTAAGAGGATAAGTCAATCTACCTATATTAATTAATTGTCAACTTTTTCGGATGAATATCCGATTCATGGAATATTCAATTAATGTGGTTATTAAACAAGAATGTCGGTGTCACTTTCCGTCTTAAGGGTTTCATCCAATTTTCCTTGGTAATTGTATGACAGTATATCGACCAAAAATGCTTCCAAGTATGACAATTTCAATTTTTCCTGCTCACTCCTAATTGGTGGTGGTGGTAATTATATGTAGCAGTAACCTCAAAAATTTGACAATTCTGGGATTTTTTATAGTTGACTGGCTATGCATTCAGTAAAGATGTGCATCCTTTAATTTTGTCTGACACAAATGCACAGTTTATAAGCAGTTGACCAAAGAATGACCAAAAATTTTAAAAGTAAAATTTCCTTCCTATTGAAAGCTTGATTAGCATATAAAAAAATTCAATTTTTTCTTGTGCACACTTACTTACCTTAGATAGCTTCCGATTTGCCTAACATTAGAATTAGAATTAGAATTAGAATTAGAATTAGCATTAGCATATACTGAAATTTGCTTCAAATTTGGCTAAAATTTTTCTTGTACAAGGAATCAATGGCTTGCAAAACCATCAGCCTTATTTTCCTCTACCTGTCCCTCAGTTTGCAGTTCTCATACTGTTAAAGTTGGATTAGAGGCGGCTACTGGATTTCCTGCAATGAGCTTCCGATTTCTGGCATAAATTGTGCTCTTTTCACTCACCTTATGTGTGGTATGCTTACATAGATTCCTCCACTGACCACATCTTAATAAACTCCACCTATGAAAAATCCTACTCTAATTTCTCTAGCACTGTGAAGCACAAGAATCCATCATTTACGACCCTATTATCAATCTGGGCTGGACGGCAATGCTCTACTATCCTTTCTTCAATGATAAACCAAACATCTTCCAGACAGACTTTCATTGACTCCTCCATAAAAACTGCTAGGGTTTATGACTTCCAAGGCCTGGACCTTTATGGTGTAAAGCCTAATAGAAGCACCAACATGACCAATTTTTAGGAACCCTTTTAGATGAGTGGTACGCTGCAGTAACTTCTGATGTCAAGAAACTCTGACAAGTCACAGCTGATATTGGTAATGAGCTGCCATCACTAGCCTGCAAACGACTCCATGATTTACCCTGTATATTCAAGACAGAGGAACTTGGATTGGATGCATCTTTTAGCATATGATTACTATTTGCCTACAAGAGATAATTTTACAGCACTCATGCTGCTTTATATGGCCCATCAGGCTGGCTCAATACAAATGATAGTATAAGGGAATGGCTTGATAAAGGACTACTTGCTGACAAGCTGGTACTTGGTTTTCCTTATCATTGCTATGCATGTACGCTTCTTAATTCCCATGATATTTCAGTTGGTGCACCGGCTTCAGGCCTAGCTATCACAAAAGATGGTTGCATAGGCTATAAGCTCATCAAATCTTTCATTCGCGTTATGGTTGTAGGGCTGCTTCAGTGTACAATGACACTTATGCAGTGAATCTCTTCACTGGTGGAACAAACTGGATCAATTTTGATGGTGCGGAGGCTGTAAAAGCTAAGGTTTCATTTGCAAAAGAGAAAGGGCTACTTGGTTACAGTTTATTTCAACTAGGCAACCACGAAAACTGGGAGTTTTCCTCAGCTGGTATAGAACTGTTAATTGCTTCTAATCTTCAATAATTGTCTCAACAATTAATCCAAAATTTTGACTGTAAGAGAAATTGAGTAACTTGGTGACACATACAAATTAACATAACAAATTAACAATGAAACAACTTTCATAACCCAAAAGGAAGGTGATGATCGGCAAAAACAAACAGCGGCTTCTGATGATTATTCTGGTTACATTAGCAACATTTATGCTGCTACCGGGGATCTTAATGTGTTTTTTGAAAAGAATATTACTCAAGCCAAGAGGTAATTTGACCCTAATTATATAATCACAATGAAATAGAATGATTGCCTAACTATTTCCTAATTTTGCATTTCATTACATTGGTTTCAGGGGTTATAAGTAATGTGAAAAGATTGCTGTCTAAACTGAAAACAAAAGCATCAGTTGCCAGAAATCTTAACAAAAATGCAAACAATCTGCAAATATTCAAGTTTACAACTATTAAAGAAGCTACAAATAACTTCTCAAGTGACAAAAAGCTCAGCGAGGGTGGATATGGACCTGTTTACAAGGTAATATTAGAAACTGTTTGATCTCAAAATCCATCAAGGACTTCAGGAGTTTCAAGGATGAAGCTAGCGATCACTATGTATATATTTCAGGGGAAATTTCCAATAGGACAGGAGATAGCAGTGAAGAGAGTTTCCCAAGCTTCTCATCAAGGACTTGAGGAGTTCAAGAATCAAGTCGAGCTTACCGTGAGGCTGCAACATGTAAATCTGGTACCGATCTTGGGGATTTGCACTCAGAGGGAAGAAAATATGTTGATTTACCAGCACATGCCAAGCAAGAGCTTGGATTTCTACATCTTTGGTGTGCAGACTCTTGGGTTTTGGTTTTGGTTCTGGTTTTGGTTCTCATCTATAGGCCTAATCATCTAAGCTTCAAAGAAGCCCTCATTCTTTCTTCCTGGTAATTCCAATTTTCTACACAATCGTGGAGGTGATATCTATTAGAATGAGAACAACGCATTCAAATCATTTGAAGGGATTACTCAAGGGATTTTATATCTTCAAGAAAACTCAAATTTTATGATAGTTCACAAAGACCAGAAGGCTAACAACATTTTATTAGACAAAGACCTGAATCCCAAGATATTGGATTTTGGCATGGCTATAGCTTTTACAAAAGATGAATGTGAAGCGAAAACCGACCGAATTATTGGAACATAGTAAGTAATTAACTTGTCTGTCAAAACAAAACATGACATTTTATATGTTTCATTTGTTGAATTATTGACAATTTTCAGCGTTTACGTTGAATTGCAGTGCCTATATTCCCCTTGAGTATGTATGAACAGGTATATACTCCATGAATTATGATGTTTATGGCTATGGAGTTTTGCTTCTGCAAATCATCAGTGGCAAGAAGACTGCATGCTATTGTGGCCCCTGCAAAATTTGACCCTTTTAGAATATGTAAGTTACCAGTCATTCTTTCCTGTAGACATCCTGATTTAAAAAAAAAAAAAAAAAAAAAAAATTGTGATTTACTATAGCGAGAAACTTGGCCAAAGTTGGGTAACATTTAAGTTACTTCAGGGTTATGAATTGTGGAAAGAAGGTGAAGTCATGGAATTTTTCGATTTATCACTAGACGATTCGTCTTCTCCATGGAAATTGAAGAAATGCTTGCAAGTAGCTCTACTTTGTGTCCAGGAAAATCCTGCAGATAGACCAACCATGTTGGATGTTTATACAATGCTCAAAAGAAACTGGAGCCATCCCAACTCCAAAAGGCTTGCATTTTCAGTTAAAAGAGATGAAGATGAGGAAAGTAAATGTGCATTGAAGGTGAAAATTTGCTCAGTCAATGAGGCAACATTCAGCAAACTGGTAGTCAAATGACAATGTAGCCTCTCATGGTACATACTAGAGAAGATATTGACATATTCGCGCTCAGTCACCGATCAAGTAGGCTTAATCTGTCCTAGAATACGATGGAAGCTGCCCTTGGAAAGTTGTAGATAATCACAAAATTTGCTTGAAAATTTAATGAGTGTTCTTATATTCAAGTGTTTATAGAAAATATTTTGTTTCTGGAATTCAGCCTATCCTCAATTTTCTGTAGTGCCACAAGCTGAGAAGCCAATTCTATTCATCAGCCCTTTGTGAAATGTGACGCTATATTACATAAAAAGTTTTCTCGGTTCTATAAAGTTTGGCTCATGAAAACATAGCCTTCTTTCAATTTATTTAATGAAAGAAAATCCCTTTTGGGGATACTGTACAATTTATTTAATGAAGGAAAATTCCTTTTGGGGAAACATACAGTGAAGAGGATGGGTCGTTATTTTACCATTGACCCACAACAGCAAGCAGCCTTGGTGCCTTTACGATTACGCAACTTCAACTTGAAAAAGAAACAAGAAAAACCTGGTTCAAGTTTTGCCACGTTTCTGAGTTCAAAAGCTTACATTAACTGAAGACTACACGCTGGCGGCCACAAGCAATCAATTGATGATACTTTGATTAGTTTCTATTGCTGTCAAAATGATATTTTAATGAAATTTTTATATTTTTAATGTGGTTTTTAACATTTTCATTTTTCAGATGAATTTAATATTAAATGATCTCGCCAACGTTTTCTAGCTTCCGTGTGCGCCATTTCGACGGCGGTCACGGCTGACGGTGGCTGCCAGTAGCAGCAGGTGGGTGAGGATGATGGTTTAAGTGGGTTACAATTTATTTTGAATTCAAGAGTAATTCTATCCAAAAAATTAATTAATTTAGGTAAACTTGTAAAAGGCAGATTCATGAAAATTGATTTTAAAACAAAGACATTATTGTCTAAAATATTTATTAATAAGAGATAAAATTATAACAAAAATAAGATAATCAAGTAATCTTATAATACTTAAGAAAATAGAAGTATTACCTCTAATATCACCAATAATAACTATTATTAATTTTAAAAAATTACCAGAATCTTATATTACTTAATAACCAAATATGATAAAAAATTAATATAACATGACATATTCTCACTAATCTTATATAACTCCATTGATTAGTTAACAGTTGACAAACACTTACACGAAGAATATAAAAAATTAGTTTATACAACCCCCAACCTTATTGTTAGCTAACAGTTGACGAACACTTGCATGAAGAATATCAAAAATTATTTAGCTAGTAAATCAGTACCTTATGTTGAAGATCAAGGCTAACAAGCTTTTATGAGTGTGTTTGGTTCATTATTTTGGATAGAATTTTAGGGATAAAATTGGATAGTTGGATAGAGTTAGAATTACGATAATAGGAT